GTATAGAAGTGGAAGTGAAGGAAAGTTTGTTACTAAAATCGGCCACCCTTACACTTCCCCTGATGCAGACCATTTGCTGCAGTTTATCTGGTAGCATATGGCATATCGCTAATCTTTGCTTCCACACCATCATCTAATAGTGCTGCATTCAATGGCAGACTCAACAGCTATAAATAAGCTGTGGTAAGTATAGCGTGGAGCTACTGGCTATCTGCTTAAATGAATGAATGGCGGTGGATCGAACCGGTGATCGAATCCATGATCTGTCGACTAGTTCGACACTCAGCCGACGAGGATACCATCTTCTATGGAACCTAGAAGGTAGGGCTCAGTTTGGGAAGAACATATAATGTTACAGAAGCATGAATTTAATGACCTTTAAACAGCCTGCTCTTGTGACCCTTAGTACTGACCCTAAGTATTGCCCCCCTGAAAGCCCGAGAAGTAAAAGGAGAGTGTTCAAGACTAGGTCATAACATGATGAGAACACGACGAAACAGATTTGGCAATAAACCAGACATATCTGAGTAAAGAAATAAGAATGCTGTAAAAGATGCTTCATCGTTAAAAACGATGCAGCGATTAAAAAAACCATTAATATGGTCATGTTTAGAGAAAATTTAGAAAAATGAACTTTGGAATGAAACCCTGAAGAAATCTTCATTCAACAATAGAGAAGAACACTCGTGCGAATAATAATGTTGCATGTTAACATTAGTCATTATACAAAATCGTGGATCAACCAGGAGATATATTTAACTAATTCGTGGTTGTCTTTGGACTGCGACCGATTTTGTGAACTGACGCCGTCTCTCCGAGAACTAAGGCTGGATAGAAGAAGTCCTACTTCAGGCTATCTTCAACTTCTGAGACATCTTTGATTGAATTCATAAGCCGCCCTCTTGTGGACTGATATTTTCGAGTCTGTCGAATTACCTGCGTCGCTACAGCAGCCGCAAAGGCTTGTAATAAACTGGAAAGGACCGGTTAACACGTCCTGTTGACTGCAATGAACAGGGCTCTATATGCTTTGTAAGGAGTTTCATCGAAAAGAAGAACAGCCTGATTACAAACCCAGGAAGAATGTATTATTAAATTCGTTCATCTGGCAGTGAATCACCCCTGAACAGGAAACCAATGATGATTCATAGGCAAGAAAGAGAAGAAGTTGGACGATGCCTGAGAAGTTTATAGGAAATGGGGATGAAACTGCACCCTTCTTGCATTTGGATGATCAAAGGCTGGGAAATTTCGTCTAAAACTTCATCCCAATCTTTATGATATGTTGACATTGTGCTGGTACAAAGCTGACATTTTATTCACACGTAAAAATATGAGAAGAACATAATTCTCTACTAACAGTGGTCTACCATTCACAGATATATGAATCTAATGCAACAACCTATCGACTTTACCTATGGCTGATTCGCAGGCTTTATTGTCAATGAAGCAAGCACGCTGTTCCTCGAGCATTCCACATGGGGCACCTCCATTTTTTGGAGACTGTGTTACCACTTTCGCTCTTCTGCTGATGCCAGTTCCGCATTTATCATTGTGACCATCATCTTTTATTTTCTGCGTCTCTTTAACTTTCTCGCAAGGAGACCATGAAGACCATTCTGACGTACGGCAATCGATCACTTAAAAAATATTTATCAAAACAATTAATATATATATATACCAAGGTGCACAAATTAAA